TTATTACTAATTTCTTATTTTTCTTCTTTATACCATATTACATGTACCTAGCATTTGCAATTCTATCTTTTAAATATAGGAAGTGAGAATTGCTGTTACTCGTTGAAATTTATTATTTTATTAAAAGAAATCTTTCGTAATGTTCGAATTCTTTTGGAATACGGTACTTTTATTAATCTGGAATTTTTTTAAATTGCTAAATGAATGGGCTTTATTTGAAATCATCACTTTTCAAAATGGAATTTCGGCAATACGACCCAAACCATTGCAACGCTATCCGGTCGGTCAATCCGGCATTTCTATGAATCAGCTCGAGAATTTTTGACTGCGACGGGTTTCTCTTACCTGCGACCTGTGGGTAGGCGTTGACGCAGCACGATTCTCGATACATCAGCTGGTGCGGGTACCTGTAACTTCTCCTTTCCTTTCTCTCTCTTTCTCACAGACGAAGGGCGAATGAAGTGCGTGAAGATCGGACAGAGAGAAAGATAAAGAAAGAAAGAAAAGAGAGAAGGCCGGTTTTTCTGGTTTTCCACCTCCGCAACCTCATGTGGTCTCTCCTGTAGTCCTCTCTCGTTACCTTCGCACAATCAGACGCGTACACGTCTTCACGTGACTATCCGAATAATAATAATAATATAGCTTGTCTTTTTTTGCAAATATGTATTTTTTTTACATCGGTTAATTTATCATAGAATATTCTATATGTATCTAAATTTATTTAAACATATAAAATGTATATATATTCATATACATAGAATACACATATATATATAGGTTTGGACATGAAATACTTTTGTTTAAATTTATATACTTTTGTATTTGTTGTTTAAATATATATACTTTTATATTTGAAATATTTTAATTTAAAACACAGTATTTGAAATATGAGTATATTTTGTATTTCAATGAAGCACATGAAAGTATTACATATTTTGTACTTAAAATTGAAAAACTGAAAGTTTCTTGTGTATTATAATTCAAATAATAAGATTGATGATTGTCAATTTTAATATTTGAAATATAAAATGTAAAATATTTTCATGTACTCCGTTGGAATACAAAATATAATTATTT